GATCCACCCACCTCGGCCTCCCAAAGTGCTAGGATTACAGGCGTGAGCCATCGCGTCGGGCCAGTTTATGGAAGGATTAAGCCCCCAGCAGGATTAAGCTTGGTTGTCCTCAGTGATACCTGATTTCCTTCCCTTCCCTGTCTCACATCTCCACCCCCCTACAGGTAGTTTCTGGGATGACCTCCAAAATAAACTATTTGCCCTTGAATCCTCATCTAAAGGTCTGTTTCTGGGAGAACTGAAACTAAGACATGGTGGTTATTTCTCCCAGTTGAATCACACCAGAATTCCTTGCAGAGACTATTCTGAGACACATCACTCCCTCCTAAGAGGAGGTCCCACATCCAAGAAAGAAGTATTAATGGGTTTGTGCATCATTTTCTGAAGGGGGTTTAAAAGAAGCAGGTTGGGAGCATATGTCTCTTGGAGGATCCAGTCATTATGGAATAAGTATCTTTTATACTCAGTTTGCTGAAGACCAATAGGCTATAGGCAATACAGTGGATGACAAACATAACCACTGCAGTTGTAGTACCTAGTACTGTCTTAACTCTCACTGCATTGTCCCAGCACTTAACATGATGCTTGATACAAAGCAGGTGCCCAATACATGCTGACTATCATTTAATAAAGTTATTCTTTACAGACCAGTGAGAAGAATACATCTTCTGAGTCTTCCATCTTTGAATACATCATTCTTTCCTGGCACATGTTGTTCTACTGTCTTGTATTAGGATAAAGGCTAGACTGCTGTAAAAAAAAAAAAAAAAAAAAAAAAACCCTCAAAACACAGTGGCTTAATACAGAAACCAACACACATAATAAAATTGTAAAGAACTAAACACAGACACATACACATACAAGTGAGTACAAGTAAAACAGGAAATCTGAATAAGATCTATTAACTGTGTCAATGTTGATATCTTGGTTGTGATATTATACTACAGTTTCACAAAATGTTATCATTGGGGGAAACTGAGCAAAGAGTATGCAGGAGTTCTCTTACAATGGCATGTGAATCTACAATGATCTCAACAAAATTTTTTATTAAAAATGTACAGTATCATAAATAACAGTATAGGTAATCTAGAATGGTGAGCCTAGTGAGACAGTTGTACTCCACAAGGTCATTCAAAGACCCAGGTTCCTTGTATCTTGTTGTTCCAATATCTCATAGGGGTACTATCTTCACCTACAGGGCTGCAGCTAAGTCAAAGCTCAGTGTCAGTCCATAGGAGGGGAGAAAAGAGAGAAATGAATTTCCTTTTAGGCATGTGATGCAGAAATGGCACATATCACTTCCACTCACATTATATTAGCAAAAACTTAGCCACATGGGCACATCTAGCTGCAAGGGAAGCTGGTAAGTGGAGCTTTTATTCTGGATGGTCATATGCAAGTACAACACTATTATTATGGAAGAAGGGAAAGACATTTTGAGTAAGAACTGGCAATCTTCCACAAAGCACAAACTGATTTTGTTAATTGGCATAGTGAGGTATTATTTGGTGTGTGCCAAAAATCCCTTCTTTGGGGAAAACCACATCTGACATGTTCTATACTAACCTTTCTCTATCCAGAGTCTAGAGATAAGGAGAGAGGACTCTATGATGTCTGAGGCTCGACAGCTAGATCCACCTTTTGAGCTTCCAGTTACAGGAGCCAAGCATCCCTACTTTTGATTTATCTATATTGGGATGGATTTCTATGATTTGCAACCCAAAGAGACCTGATGAACATAGTTGGTATCCTGACTCCTCAATTTCTGAAAACACTGAGACATGAAAGTGGCAAATATAAGCTTTACTGTCTCAAAGGGTCCTTTGTGTCCTTCTAGGAGAGCCCCAAATGCTTGAGCACTGAACACAGAGCCCTTGGCCAGGACACTCACAATAACATGTAGGTTTAGTCAGCACTATTTAAACACTTAGTTTAATCAGTACTGAGAGAAGCAAGGGTAATAATAATGAGTTATTTCAGAAGTTTTTAACAGGAAAAAAGAAAAACCATTGACCCAAATAGTATGCTTGATAATTCTTAATAAGTGCTATAAATGCTTCTAAAAGAATATTAAGTTGCTTAATTGCTGAATAAATGAAAATATAAACATTATGTTGCTTGGAGAGTTCTTTAATATGTAATGGGGAAAACCATTTTATGAAATGTACTGCATGTGATAAATGCTTGTTTTCTTTTCTAAAATCAATTATTGAAACCATTAACCACTGTTTAAATATAGCTCAATTTTTTTCTGTTTATTCCCCTTTATATATTTTTATTGGTGAAAGAAAATAGGTTTATGTAGGAGAGAGAGCTGCATAGTGAAAGAGATGGAATGTGAAGGATATGGGAGTCAGAAGCCTTGGCTTTTAATCACGGCTCCGTCATTTACTAGTTCTGTGACCTTGGGTAAGTCACTTAAACTCACCTGATTTCCAGGTGCAGTGTGGAACTATTACAAAGGCTCTCTTACCCACCTCAGAGAATTGTAGTGGTCCTACTACTAAGTCATAGCAGTTTTAGGACAGTGCTTATTAGCCTTTACTATACATAGGAATTACCTAGGAAGTTTGCTAAATGCAGATTTGTATTTATTAAGCTTAGAATGGGATCCAAGACCCAACATTTCTAATAAGCTCTCAGGTGATGTTGATGTTACTGGTCCATACTTTTGAATAGCAAGGTTCTCATGTGACTGCTAAGCTTGCAATAATTTCCCCAGTTCTTGTGCCCTTTTGCCACAGCTGACAATGGTAGAGGTGATTTCTGATCCAAGCTGGGCCAAAAGAAGGTCTCATTTGCTAGCCTGAGATTTTGAACAGGGACGACCAGAAATGCGACATATATTCACTTGCTCATTCATTCACCAATAAAAAAAAAATCCTGTCTCTATACCAGACACTATAGTAGGCAGTGGAGAGACACCAATCAAGCAAGCAGGTCTCTGCACTCACGGAGCTTTCATTATAGTAATATGCAAGATAATTTCAGATGAATTAGTGCTGTGAAGAGATTGAAGAATTTCAAAGGGATGCAGGAGACTTGAAGTGAAAGTGTTGTGGAAAGCTAAGCTCTTACTTTCCCCTCTGTAGTGACCTTGGCAGGTAAGAGTTGAACATGATGGCTTAGCAAACGGGGGAAGCCTGGATCCCTGAGTGGTTATGTGGAGCACAGCACTCTTCCCGTCCCTGCAGACTGAACTGGACGGTGATCAGAGTGAGAAATAAAATACTTCACACCTGTGAGGAATTTTGACGGCAAACTGATCTTTCTAAGATGAATCCACTGCCTGGATATATTATTGGGGGAAGACAATACTAAACAAATACTCATATACAAACTCACGTTGAAGTTAATTTCTTTCTCCAGTCGTTTCTATCTTAGATCTCTTGGTCAGACCTTTATAAAATCAACTCACTAAATCATGATGGAAGCTAAGGAAGCAATTACATTACAGAGTTTGTAATTTTCCTTTAAAACATGCCTGCTTATATTTTAGAAGAGTCCTTGGTGGCACAAGAATATTAACATTTAAATTCACCATTTCTCATGTTTATCCACACACTCTAAACCTGGGTATCCTTCAGAGGATCCTGTAATTCCCCAAAGGAAATCTGTCTTCTTTACTGCATCCTCAGTGGGTCTTTTCTTCCTTGGCTGCTGGTCTCAAGAGCATATAGCTGGTCTCTCAGCCCCTTGAGTACTCTTCCTCTTCTCTTCTAATTTTTATGTATCCTAAGCAGCCACTGCAAAGCTGTTCCTTAAGACTGCTTAGTACAAGAAGTCTGTTATGAGTTATGCCTGGGTAACAGGTGAGGACAAGACAGGCAGGAAAGTCAGGGCATCCTATGAGAGAGGCCAGTGCCAGGGACTGGCACTTCTTGCTTTCTTCACGGAGCCTTCATTAGTTTTTATATCCTAGGACTTGAGTTTGTCCTTGTAACTGTGTGTGCTTAGTGAAAACTGAGTGGTAAATCATTCAATTGATATGAACCTCTTTGAGTCCGCATTTGGGACAAGTTCTATCGGTAAGAGCAGCATATGAAGTCAAAACCTCCATCCTCCAAGACACCAAAATGAAATCCTCCCCAGCCAGGGGTCCATTCCAGGACGCATGTCCATACACGTGTAAAGTCTGCAACTATCCACAGAACCACATTCATGATAAGGAGACAAAAGATGGGCCTCAAAAGTAGACTTTTGAGTGAGGATGCCAACTTTCTGCGTTCCTTGGTTCATTCAGCAACAAAGATTAGTCTTGGCATTACTGCCTGCTTGGCGACCAGAACAAAGAGAAATAAGGAAAATTAGGGACACAGGAAAACATATGGGCACACATAGATGTGGAAACTCAGAGATAAAAGAGACTTAAAGAGATACATGGAGAGTGAATATTCTGTCGCCTTTTAGAGCCTTATCCATCATCCATCCACCCAAGCAACGCTGACCTGAGCGCCTATTTATCAGACACTGTGCTAGGCCTTGGGAATAAACAAAGATGGAGGTGAAAGTCTAAAAGTAGACATTGGAGGTGGGAAGAGCAGTTGACGTGGCCCTAACAGGTTCCCACCACGGCGGAACGCACAGACAGGGCAGGCGGGGGAAGATGTGGCCCTAAAAGGGTTCCCGCTACGGCGGAACGCACAGCCAGGGAATGTGGGGGAATTCAAAGAGCGAACCTCCTGGCGCCCCAACGTTGGTAAAGGTGAACGAGACACCTGCGCATCATAGAGACGCCGAGACCTCCAGACTTCCTAGAGAGGCCCGGAAGTGGCTCCGGGAGGCTGGTCCGACAACTCCGGCTCCCGAGCGGGGACGGTGGGCAGTTAGGGAGGCCTGGGCCTCCCCGCCTGCCATAGTCTGTCTGCCGCGCCCTTGTTCCTGCAGCTGTGAGTGGGCTTGGGCTGGGGTTGGGGGCCGCCGCCCTTCTGCGGGGACCTTGGGCCGCCTTGGCCTGGAACGCGACAGGTGGAGTTCCCGGGGGTGGGGGACGGTGATGAATGACTGAGCAGGGTGGCGGGAAGGAGCATCCCCTTTCAGGTGTCTTCCTGATCCCAGGGGGCCGGGCGCAGCTTGGCTTTCTAGAATGTCGCCAAGGTCTCAAACACTGGCTCTCCTCATTTTTTGTTTTTAAGGACAACAGGCCCCAAGCTCCGAACTCTCCACAGGTGTTTGGCTATACTTGATTCCTATGTTTGATTTTCTGCACACTTTGAGGGAACGATTACCTCCTCTTTATGACGTGGTTCTGGTTTCCCACTTAAAATGGCAGTGACAGGTTCCCATTTAAACTGCATGTGTTTGTTGGGAAAAGGTAAGTAGGTTGAAACAAAACCTTATAGGCTATCATAGTACCAGATGAACCAGACAAGACAGAAATTGTGGAGGTGGAGTGAACCCTGAAAATCTGAGATAGGTCTCAGTTAATTTAGAAAGTTTATTTTGCCACCGTTGAAGACATGTACCCATGACACAGCCTCAGGTGGTCCTGACCACATATACTCAAGGTGGTCAGAGCACATTTTCGTTTCATACATTTTAGGGAGACATGAGACAACAACAGATGTAAGATGAACATTTTTTCAGTCTGGAAAGGCGGGACAACTGGAAGCAGGGAGGGGGTTTCCAGGTCATAGGTAGGTAAGAGACAAATGGTGGCATTCTTTTGAGTTTGATTAACCTCTCCAAAGGAAGCAGTCAGATATGCCTTTATTTCAGTGAGCAGAAATATATGAATAGAATGAGAGGCAGGTTTGCCCTAAGCAGTTCACAGCTTGACTTTTCCCTTTACCTTAGTGATCTTGGGGCCCCAAGATTTATTTTCCTTTCACAGTGGTAGGATAATGACCTAAGTGAATCTGCATTGTCCCAGCCTTAGTGTGCGGCATTACACGTGGTGGTTGAGAGTTATACAGACCCGGCTTCAAGCCCTAAATCCTGCCCAGCCACTTATGACCTGCATAATTTGTGGGCAAGGTTCCTAACCTCTGATCTGTTTTCCTCATTTCTGAAAGCTGATAAGACTAGTAACTACCTCGGGAGATTGTCCTGAGGCTTAAACGCTAAACCTTTAAACTACCTGTATTAATCCATTCTCATGTTGCTAATAAAGACATACCTAAGACTAGATAATTTATAAAGGAAAGAGGTTTCATGGACTCACAGTTCCCCATGGCTGGGGAAGCCTCATAATCATGGCAGAAGGCAAAGGAGGAGTAAAGTCACGTCTTATGTCTTGCATGGTGGCAGGCAAGAGAGCTTGTGTAGGGGAACTCCCCTTTATAAAACCATCAGCTCTTGTGAAACTTATTCACTGTTGTGAGAACAGCATGGGAAAAACCCACCCCCGTGATTCAATTACCTCCCACTGGGTCCCTCCCGGGACATGTGGGAATTATGGGATCTAAAATTCATGGTGAGATTTGGGTGGAGACATAGCCAAACCATATCCTTCTGCCCCTGGCCCCTCCCAAATCTCGTGTCCTCACATTTCAAAACCAATCATGCCTTCCCAACAGTCCCCCAAAGTCTTAACTCATTTCAGCATTAACTCAAAAGTCCACACTCCAAAGTCTCATCTGCGACAAGGCAGGCACCTTCCACCTATGAGCCTGTAAAATCAAAAGCAAGTTAGTTACTTCCTAGATACAATGGGGGTACAGGTATTGGTTTAATACACTCATTCCAAAAGGGAGAAATTGGCCAAAACGAAGGGGCTACAGGCCATGCAAGTCTAAAATCCAGCAGGGCAGTCAAATCTTGAAGCTCTAAAATGATCATCTTTGACTCCATGTCCCATATCCAGGTCACACTGATGCAAGAGGTGGGTTCCCCTAGTCTTGGGAAGCTCCACCCCTGTGGTTTTGCAGAGTACAGCCCCACTTTTGGCTACTTTCAGGGCTGGCTTTGAGTGTCTGCTGCTTTTCTAGGTGCACGGTGCAAGCTGTTGGTGGATCTACCATTCTGGGGTCTGGAGGATGGTAGCTGTCTTCTCACAGCTCCACTAGGCAGCGTCCCAGTGGGGACTCTGTGGGGTGGTTCCAACCCCACATTTCCCTTCCACGCTGCCCTAGTAGTGGTTCTCCATGAGGGCCCCACCCCTGTAGCCAACTTCTGCGTGGACATCCAGGAGTTTCCATACATCCTCTGAAATCTAGGCAGAGGTTTCCAAACCTCAGTTCTTGACTTCTGTACATACACAGGCTTAACACCACATGGAAGTTGCCAAGGCTTGGGGCTTGCACCCTCTGAAGCCACAACCTGAGCTGTACCTTGGCCCATTTTAGCCACAGCTGGAGCTGCTAGGATACAGAACACCAAGTCCCTAGGCTGCATAGAGCAGGGGGGCCCTGGACCCAGCCCAGGAAACCATTTTTGCCTCCTAGGCTTCTGGGCCTGTGATGGGAGGGGCTGCCATGAAGGTCTCTGACATGCCCTGGACACATTTTTCCCATTGTCTTGATGATTAGCATTTGGCTCCTTGTTCTTTATGCAAATTTCTACAGCCAGCGTGAATTTCTCCCCAGAAAATGGGTTTTTCTTTTCTATTGCATCATTAGGCTGCAAATTTTTCAAACTTATACTCTGCTTCCTCTTGAATGCTTTGCAGCTTAGAAATTTCTTACCCCAGATACCCTAAATCATCCCTCTGAAGTTCTAAGTTACACAGATCTCTATGGCAAGGACAAAATGCCATCAGTCTCTTTGCTGAAACATAACAAGAGTCACTTTTGCTCCAGTTCCCAAAAAGTTCCTTATCTCCATCTGAGACCACCTCAGCCTGGACTTTATTGTCTGTATCGCTGTCAGCATTTTGGTCACAGCCATTCAACAAGTCTCTAGGAAGTTCCAAACTTTCCCACATCTTTCTGTCTTCTTCTGGGCCCTCAAAACTGTTGCAACCTTTGCCTGTAAACCAGTTCCAAAGTCACTTCCACATTTTTGGATACCTTTACAGTAGCACCCCACTACCCGGTACCAATTTACTGTATTAGTCCATTCTCATGCTGCTAATAAAGACATTCCCAAGACTGGGTAATTTATAATGGGAAGAGGTTTAATGGACTCACAGTTCCACATGGCTGGGGAGGCCTCCTAATCATGGCAGAAGGTAAAGGAAGAGCAAAGTCACGTCTTACATGGCGGCTGGCCAGAGAGCTTGTGTAGGGGAATTTTCCTTTATAAAACCATCAGATCTTGTGGGACTTACTCACTATCACGAGAATAGCAAGGGAAAGACCCACCCCCGTGATTCAGTTACCTACTACTGGGTCCCTCCCAGGACATGTGGGACTTACGGGAAATACAATTCAAGAGGAGACTTGGGTAGAGACACAGCCAAACTATATCACTCCCTAACCCATAATAAATAATAAGTGTAGCCATGGTTGTTGCTGTTTTTATTTTAGGGAGGAGGAAATATGATCAGAGAGGTTCAGTGAATTGCCCAGGGTCACACAGGGAATTGGAGGAACAGCCAAGTCTGATTCTCAGATTTCCAAACTGAGAGTCTCTGGGAACTGCAGGGGCCGCAATGAGGTTGCAGAATGTGTTAACAGTGAAAGCCCTCACAGGACTCAGGTCAGTACCCAGCACTTCAGGCAGGGGCTCTGCACAGCCTCAAGTGCTGCTGCGTTAAGGTGAACTGTAGAGTCAGATGCACCTGGGTTATTGGTACGGCTCCCTGCTCTACCATTTGCTAGCTGTAGCACTTGGAGTTAGGCACTTTGTGTCTCTGAGCTTCAGTTTTCTCATCTGTAAAATGGAATTAACAAATTAGTACTCATCTCAGAGGTATGTGAAATAATTCCTGGACAGAGTATTGCAGAATGCCTGGCACAGAGTAAGTGCTTAATAAGTGGCAGTTGATATTACTTCAATTACTTGATATTACTTCAATGTATAGATGTGGCAAACTACTGACTTAGTGAAGAGGAAAATACAAGTGTAGTACTCCTTGCAGATAGGACAGAAAGAGGCATTTGAAGAACTTGCAAAATGTTCACCCCATTTAGATTTACTGGGTCTACAATCTGCTAGATATTCCTTGTCCCTACAGATATTGCCGGTCTGTGCTCACATGGCATTTATACGATAGCTTGGGAAACAGATGGGAAATACCAATTATAAAATTATTTCATTTCTTTTGTCATCAGCATTGTGGAGAATTGCAAGGCTCTTGTGCCATAGATATCTAGGTAGAAGTTTAGGTAGCCGAACAAGATTTGAAACACCTCAGATGCTGACCCTGAATTACAGACAGCTGTCCTGCTACCTGCTTATGTTCAAAACCCTGCATAAATACCCATATCTATTACCAGTATACTGGTTTTTACTTAACCCTATACCCTTAGTTAATTTTCTTCCGAGGTGTTTTGGCCTTTTGGATTTTTTTTTTTTTTTTGGATGGAATCTTGCTGTGTCATCCAAACTGGTGTGTAGTGGTGCAATCTCCGCTCACTGCAACCTCCATCCCCCATGTTCAAGCGATTCTCCTGCCTCAGCTTTCCAAGTAGCTGAGATTACAGATGTGCATCACCACGCCGGGCTACTTTTTTCTGTTTTTAGTAGAGACGGGGGTTTCAGCATTTTGGCCCAGCTGGTCTCTAACTCCTGACCTCCAGTGATCCACCTGCCTCAGCCTTCCAAAGTGCTGGAATTATAAGTGTGAGCCACTGCGCCCAGCCCCTTTTGAATTTTATATGTCACATCTCTTTTATCTGTATCAGAATTCTTCTCCTTATCACCCCTAACTGCATATTTATTTTTATTGTTTTGACTTCCTTATACTAAACACAAGTAGATAATTTTCAGATCATGCATGGAATTTGAACAGCACCATTTCATAAGCCCTCTGGTATCAATATATTTGCCAGATCTTGATATAATAAGAATATAGTTACCTTTTACCTCTGGTCAGCACTTGTACAGTGATTTAAAGCACCTAATCATGGGGTTATACTACTTGGAGATATTTTTTATATCTCTTAAAGTAAATATCATAAGTTTTTATTTTTATGGGAACCGTCTTAAATTGTCTCTGTTCCATAGTTTCTATTGGTGAAATGCTAATGACACCCATATTTCTATATTGCATTATAATACCAGAGGGCTAGTAACAGATCATCTTGAATTCCTAGGGATGAAGGAACTGTGTGCGTAGTTGAAGGTTCTTATTTCTGATCTTTAGCATTTAATTAGGTCTTTTAAAATGTAAAGTACTCCCAGTTATCTTTTACTAGTTTTTTCTCATAACTTCCCTTGAGATGTCAACATTATTCCCCTCACTTTACCTTAGTAGTCTCAAGAGGTCAG